CACGGCGTACGATGCGTGCCAGGTGGAGGAAAGGTGCCAGATATGCATAGATTGTGTCAGTCACTTGATGTTGTAGAGGGAAGAGGAGGAGGAGGAGGAGGAGGAGGAGGAGGAGGAGGAGGAGGAGGAGGAGGAGGAGGAGGAGGAGGAGGAGGAGGAGGAGGAGGAGAATGGGGAGGAGGAGAAAGAGGAATAGGAAGTGGAAGATGAGGAGGAGGACGAGGAGGGGGGAGGAAGAGGACAGAGGAGGAGGAAGAGAAGAATAAGGAGGAGGAGGAAGATGAGAAGGAGGAGTAGGAGGGGGAGAAGAAGGAGAAGGAGGAGGAGGAGGAGGAGGAGGAGGAGGAGGAGGAGGAAGAAGAAGAAGAAGAGGACAGAGGGGAGGGGGTGGAGAAAGAGAAGGAGGGTGAGGAGGTGGAGTAGGAACGATAAAGGACAGAGAAGAGGTAAAAGAAATAAGATGGAAGTAGGAGGAGGAGGAAGTAGAAGAAGATTGGGAAATAGATGAAGAAGAAGGAAAAGACTGGTAGGGGAGGTGGGGATAAGAAAGAAGAATAGGAATAAGAAAAAAGTTCGGAGGAAGAGATGGGAAAGATCTCGAGAGATAAAGAAGAGAAGAAAATCAGGAGTCAAAGTTATGGAAGAGAAAAAGGGGGTGTGGGGGGGCGCTGGCAACAACAACAGCAGCAACAACAACAACAACAACAGCTGCATCGCATGGGTACTCCTAATTGAACCAGAGTCAGCTGTTTTACACTGTTTTGAAATTTCTGCGGCTTTCAGATGCCAGCAGTGTGTTCTCTCTCCTCTAATTCTTTCATCTACTTCTCTCCTCTCCTCTCCTTCTCTCTTCATTTCTCTCCTTCCCATCTCTCCTTCTGTCATCTCTTTTTCTCCTCTCCTTTTCTCTTCTCCTTCTAACCTCTCTTTTTTTTTCTTCTCTCTTCTCCTATTCTCCTCTCCTCCTCTCCTCTCTCTCTCTCTCCTGGCTCCTGTGGTGAAACGTGAGATGGGGGGGGGGGGGGATGAGAGTCCTAGAGAGTGAGAGCGTGAGATGGTTTCATGGTCGAGAAACGGAATCTTGTAGGAGTTGTATTTTATCTATTGTCTTTAAAACGAGATCGCTTTCCTTTAAGCTATTTTCCGCTTTTTTTTTTGCGTTCTGAGTTTGTTTTTCTTTATTCTTGCTACTGGTGGTAGTGGGGCCTTGATTTTTTTTTTTCTTTTTTCGTTGATTAAGACAGATTCAGCTTCGAATGCAAACACAAAGCGCACAGACTGACGCACACGAAACTTAAATAAATCAATGGTAAAAGTAAAGAACAGAAATACGACGTCACCGATCAAGAATCAAAGCAAGTCAGCGCTTGAACAGCTTGCTTGAGAATGTCCAAGAAAATGTTATGTTGAAGATCTTGACCTCTTCTCCTCCCAATGTCGTTTTGCCGGGGACGACTTCAAGGTCAAAGGAAGAGGAGAGAGAGGAGGAGAGAGAGGACGAGAGAGTGGGATGGAGGGAGGGAAGAAGGGAGAGAGGGAGAGAGGGAGAGAGGGAGAGAGGGAAAGAGGGAGAGAGGGAAGAAGGGAGATAGGGAGAGAGGGAGGAGAGGGAGAGAGCGAGCGAGAGAGAGAGAGAGAGAGAGAGAGAGAGAGAGAGAGAGAGAGAGAGAGAGAGAGAGAGAGAGAGAGAGAGAGAGAGTTACAGGCGCCATCATACGGGGTGCAGATGTAAGTGTACATCTTTTCACTGTGTGTGTGTGTGTGCATTTAAGCATATAAGCACAGGTGCCATCACACAGAAATATACGTATAAAAGTGTGCACATTTGCACACAATTTGTGTGAAACCGCCACTCCGTGCATAATATTGCGGGTTCTATAAGTACCGGCACACGTGGGGGCTCAGCGTGCAGAAGCCCTGGGCGGCGAGGGCGCGGGGCATGTTCCTCAAGGGGGCGGTTGGGACACGCTCCTCCGCCCGGAAATACTGTGCTAATTCTGAGCCCAGAGACTCATGGCTGGCCTAATCAACGGCACTAACCCAGGCGTGTTGGACGATCGTAAAAGTCTCATTAACGAGAGATGGATCGCTTTGAATCCGGTGACGAGGATTTCAAAGAACTGCTAAATGCCTTTCAACGCATTGCAGTGGTCTCGCATGCACACACGCACGCACACAGGCAAGAACACACACATACACACGCACACACAGAAGGGAGAATAGACGCAAACGTACGTGCGTGTAGACACAAACTTCACCCTGACTACACTCGCATCATACTATCAAACGTTATGTATTTGTAGCATGGACAATAAATATAATAAATGATATATAAAAAAACTAGGCAAAACTACGAGACAAAATCGACACTAAATTATAATCCACTGGCAATCACACTTGATAACAATATGACAGTTATTTTCAAGATCTATTGCATGGGAAAATGAGTTTCAGTATCGATTTTCATAAGATACACACAGCTATACTTAAACACAAGTATGCAAGTATTGCATACACACACACACACACACACACACACACATACATACACATGTGTGTGTTTATATGTATGTATGTATATATGTATACAATAATATATAAACCCACATTCAGTAACTACACATTACCATACATATGAAACATATATAATCCTTTCTTTTTTCTTTCATTCAAACAATGAATTTAAATTATCTATTTTTAAACTTCTTCTTTTTTTCCTTTTCGAGTATATAACTTTCTGCACGTTACATTCACCGCGACGTGTGGTAGCGTTTGTCAAGACCTGAAGTGTGATGTTGCTGTGAATAGTGACACTTCATAGTATCTCTCATCATGAGTGAAGGCGACAGTTCTGCAGATATGGTGACAGAATGATGGCTTTTCCGATAAGATATGGTGTTGAATCATGATAATAGCTTCAGGTAATTCCGTTTCATTATTGTTTTTTTAATTGTTTTTTTTTCTAATTTCTTTTTTTTTCTAGAGTAAAGTAACGGAGTAACATTTGTTCGGATTTACTGTGGAGAAGCTAGATCTATAGTATTTTTTTTTTCTTCTTAATTTTAGAATACAGGACTTTGCTGACATGAAACAATTTTCTCACTTTTTTTTTGTGGATAAAGTAAAACGCTTCCACAACAAAAACTTTTCCCTTCCTTGGTATGAAGCAGACTCGAATACCACCGCCCCCGCAAAAAAAAAGAAAGATAATAAATCGTAGTTATTTTTATAAAAAGAATGTCAGAGTACAATCCACGACACGAAAGTGCACCGGGAATGTACCGGCTTTTGTCGACGGTACAGAAATGTGTGTGTGTGTGTGTGTGTGTGTGTGAGAGAGAGAGAGAGAGAGAGAGAGAGAGAGAGAGAGAGAGAGAGAGAGAGAGAGGGAGAGAGAGGGGGGGGGAGAGAGAGAGGGAGAGATAGAGAGAGAGGGAGAGAGAGAGAGAGAGAGAGAGAGAGAGAGAGAGAGAGAGAGAGAGAGAGAGAGAGAGAGAGGGGGGGGGGAAGAGAGAGAGGGAGAGAGAGAGAGAGAGAGAGAGAGAGAGAGAGAGAGAGAGAGAGAGAGAGAGAGAGAGAGAGAGAGGGAGAGAGAGGGAGAGAGAGAGAGAGAGAGAGAGAGAGAGAGAGAGAGAGAGAGAGAGAGAGACGAGACAGACAGACAGACAGACGAGACAGACAGACAGACAGAGAGAGAGAGAGAGGGAGGGAAGAGAGAGAGAGAGAGAGAGAGAGAGAGAAATACAGATATACAGAGAATCAGACAAACAGATTGACAGAGAAAGAAAAAGAGAGACAGAGGAGAATGAGAGACAGAAAGACAGGCAGATAGACAAAGAGACAGACACTCAGACACACAGACAAAGATAAGAGATAGATAAATACATCGATTAACAGACAGAGACAGACAGACAAAAAAATCGCACAAATTAACGTACTGACGAGCGCATTCGAATGCTGTTTCGCTCACACGCATTCGGATGATTCATTTCCGAGATTCATTTGTTTATTTTCGAAAGAGGCGGAGGCTGCGTTGCTATGTTGGCTTGTGGGCGTGGGTGTGTGTTTAGGGGCGGGGCGAGGGGGCGGGGCGACAGAATGGTGGGGGGGGAGGAAAGAATGCCAATGACTAGGTTTGTTTGTTTGTTTTGCGTTTATTCGCACCATTGTTTCTGTTTTCTTTGTGTTTGTTTTTAAGTGTTTTCAGGTGGTGATGTTGCTTTCCGATGAGTTAATCTTTTATATTTTCTAGAATTATTTTTTTTCATTATCAGTTTCGATATAGATACATAAATTCACTGATATAGACGCGGGAGGTGGCCCTAGCAATAGCACGGGATTCGTTGAACTACAATAGAATGAAGGAAAAACGACCAGTTTGTTAAAATCATGGGAGGCCGACCCAATGAATATTCATGCATATACACAGAAATGGATGTATATCTGTCTATCTGATAGATATACATTTCTCTATCTGTCCGGTAGATATACATGTCTAGATTAATAGATATGTATTTATGTGTATATACACGTCCGTTTAACAAATATTAATTGGGTAAGGCTTCGCTCAATTTTAACAAACCAGCTGTAAATCTAGTTTCGAAATGTTATTTGTATGAAGAGACAGAATCATGCCATAGAAATTTCATATCACGTTTTTTTTCTCGCGTGAAACAAAACATATGAAAAAAAACGAAAACAAAAATAATAACATTAAAAAACAAATAACTTCTGTAAAAAAAAAACATACATATATGTATAATAAAGAATACAAAAAAAATTCAACAGCATCAGTTCCTCATGAAGAAATAAATACTTTTTCCCCAATCGGTTCATGAAGAAACAATTACTATTTTCCCCCAGCTGTTCTTGAAGAAACAAACACTTTTTTTTTCCTCCAGCGGTTCATGAAGAAACAAATACACTTTTTTTTCTCCCCAGCGGTTCATGAGCACGGGTTGTATGAGTGACAAGTGAGTGACAGGCAAAATGACACTCACCATGACTACAAAAGCTTATCGACGTGGGCACCAGTACACCGTCTTGAAAGCGGAACCCGAAGCGACTGGAGAGCACGCAGCCAGTGAAGCCTCACTCCCCCGAACTCCTAGGTTATATTTACACTATTTTTAAGATGTTACGAATCTTAAACGTGG